AGAAATACAGAGCTTCTGGATTTCAGACTTACTGTGACACTGCTTGGAAGGCAGCTGAGCAGTTCTCAAGTGACAGTGATTGTTCAGTGCCTGATGGATAACTCTCTGTGTGTCATAGAAAAAGCCATTCTTTACCAGCTTCTCATGATGATTTGGAGATGGCTTAGGCAAACCAACATGGTGGAGCAAGATACTTCAAATGTGTGTGCAGTCAACTATTTTTTTTTTAAGACTATCTAAAATAGTGAATCCCACCCACCAGTCTAAAAAAAACATGACAACTTCATTTTGAGTTGGAGAGGTGAAAAATAGCACAGTGGTCTTGTGCAAGTCGCGTTTATTACAGCTTATTTGGCACCAGCTACTAGCTGTTCATGCCCGATGGAAGGGCAGCCCTTGTTCCAGCAAGCTCACTGTCACCATTTTCATAGTGTGGATGTTGACTTTTCAGCAGCTTCCTTGTATAAAAGGTTAGTGTGGTGGTGGTGGGTATTTTCCAAAACTGTATGGATTGTTATTTAGTTGGAAATTGTTTATAATTTGTATTTGCGTAGTACACTAATGTACTCTACCTCTCATTTTTTGGCAGTGAGGAATCCCTACACGGGCCACAAGTACCTTTGCGGAGCACTGCAGTCTAGCATTGTTTTGTTAGAATGGGTTGAACCAATGCAAAAATTTATGTTAATCAAGGTAATATTACAGTAAGGTGAAATACTGTCATGTTCAGTTCTGTTTATCTATTTATCTATCTATTTATACTTTTATCTATCTATTTATACTTTTTAAGAATAAGTATTAGCCTTTTCTTGAGTTATTAGACTTTTCTCTTGGTTTCTGTTAAATTACATTGAAAATAGCTATTTAAATGTGTAATATGTATTAACTGACTCAAAATATTTATAGGAATGTTCTTGGTTTTGTGGTGCACTTCAGTTAACAAAGCCCTTCTCTCCATGAACATTGCCTTTTAGTTGCATAGTAAAAAAACTGTGGCTGATAGACTGAGACATGGCAAAATAGAATGATAACATGGGTTAACAGCAGACTTGTTCCTATACCAGAGAGAAGGTAGCTGCTTATTCTACGCTTTGTGACACTGTATGTGCCCAGAAATGCTTGTTATCTCCCTCTCTGACACCACTTGAAGAGACGGAGCCAGGGTGGACTCATAGTTGTAGAGAGGCAGCTGCTATAACTTGATCAACCTGGGAAACAAGACTTAGAGCCTCCATAGTTGGGGAGAGCAATGATGGGTATAGCACTCTTGTCATCTGTGGGCAGCTGCACAGGACACATGAGATGAATGACATCCTATCTTATTTTAACTGAATCAACATGAAGTGTCTCTAAACTTCATAACTCAGGCTTTTTGTATCTATCGATTCCTGTTATCTGAAGAAGTAAACATAGTTTTTTATTTTGTTAACAAACAAAGTAAAAAAACAAGTTACAAAATGTGTGGCATGAAATTTACTATACAGTTTAAATAGCTAAAAGCAACTTAGACTAAACTTGTTTCCCTTCTAATATCTATTTTTGTTTCTTAATCTAGCACATAGATTTTCCTGTACCTTGTCCGCTGAGATTGTTTGAAATGCTGGTAGTCCCTGAGCAGGAATTCCCTTTAGTTTGTGTCGGTGTCAGTAGAGGAAGAGACTTCAACCAGGTGGTGAAGTTTGAGACTGTCAACCCAAATTCTACCTCTTCATGGTTTACAGAAACAGGTTTGTTGTAATTGCATTCAGAAATGCTCCTTTCTCTTGTATTGTAGCAGAAGCACTAGAAAGGTAGTTTTCTCTGAGGAAACTAATGGTTAAATCATTAAGGCTATGTGATCATTGTAAGTTCTCCATTTAAAGGTGTATCTGGTTGTACCTGCTCGTACATGCACTTTTTTTGGATGTTTCTACTTGTTGAACTGATTGAATTTCTTGAGACTTTGAGTATAGCAGAGGATGGACTTGTGGTTTCTTGCATTTCCATAAATCAGGCTGTACTTGGCTATTACACACTGTGCTGTTCTGTGCTCTACCCTGGCACCATGACTTATGTTTATTTAATACATTTTAATAGAATTGCGCTCTGAGTGTAGGTATGTTTTGGCTCTCCTGCAATAAGCCAGTGTGTTTAGAAATGGTGTTGTCAGGCTCCTGCTGAGACAGCATATTTTGTTTCATCTGATGTTTATGGAAAGCGAAAGGGATTAGGGCCACTGGTAGCAGGAAACCAAGTACCTGTCCATCACAGGTCTGGGTGCTATGAGTGAGGAAACCACCATCTGAGCAACAGTAGATATTCTCTTAAGAAGGAAGTGTGCTAAGAATTACTTTTCTGGAGTTGTAATGTTCCACCCTAAACCTAATTACAGTAGTGAGCTGACCCCAGTCATAGCTTGCAGGTTTAGAAGCAGTAAATAACTTTGTTGTTACGAGGCATAGAGCCCTTGTTGATCCATGATGAATTTATACATAGCCTTGTGCTGGCATATACACGTATGAGTCCAGCTGATTGTGTACTGTAGAATTCACTAAGAAGTACTGTTTCCACTGCTGACTTTCTTGCTGCTGAAGAGTAGGTCAGATTTTGATACAGCTTAAAGCATAGTTACAAAAAACTAAAGCGATCAGTGGATGGCCAATTAGTGCACTTAACTACTTCAGAGTTAGTACATTTTATTTTCAAACTCACACATCAGTAGAGTCTATAAAAGTAGCATGCTGAAGAGAAATTTTGACCCATAATGTCATGTTGTCATTCTTCTCTCAGTATTGTCTGCATCCATGTGTAAATACAAGAATAGTAATCCCTTCCTGGTTCCTTTTTTTAATGTGGAAAATTTAACATTGCATTGTGTGTTCCAAAACTACTACTTTAGCTTCCTTGAATCATTTGTGTGTTCTTGTGTTGTGTCTATGTCGTTACATTCTCCTGTTTGTTTGACTCTAATTTAAACCCTCATGTTGTATTGGTTTATTCCTGTCCCCTGCTGGCAGGAGAGCGATACTGCAATAAAAGATTTTTCGTTGTTTAAATGACGAAAGCATGTACCATATGGTCACAAATAACTTCCATCAAATAGTAGTTTTCATTGTTTGACATTTGACCTTTTTTCTAAATGTCTGATAAAGATGTTTTAAAAAAATTAGCTGGCAGAGACTTACTGCAGGGAGTTTCTCCCCTTGCCATCCCTCTGTTAGCTTTAGCCAGTGCAGTGCATGTTTCCACATTGCATAATGTGGTTGCACAGTGTATGTCCTCCAGTACTTCTGTTGCATGCTTTCATCATGGCTATATCCACCTTTAGTTAAGGTCATGCATTATAAATTTGTTAAGATCATAAACGTATACCTTCCAAGACAAACACCAAAAAAGAGATGGAGGGACCATCGCAAGGAGCACATTTCTGCCATCATCCTTGAGGAGTTTTTTGCTTCTCAGTATGACCATGGATTTTATTATTTAGCTGAAAGCTGCTTTTGTGTTTTAGGTAACATGCTCTAATTTCTCATCTCTAACAGATTTAATGAGTTTCTCTTTTCTGTATGAAAGAATGCCTACAGAATTGCTGGCAGTAATGCTGAATTAGTAAGAGCTGCTTTTTGTGTAATTTTAATGTTAACAAATAAATGGACCAAAACTACTCTTCTCTTGAGTTGATGTGTCCACTAATCACTTGTGGGTCAGATCCCCATGTTTGCTGTGATGGAGACTACTGCAGCTGTAACCCAGAAGAGAGGAAGGTAACCCTTTTAAGAGTTTGGAGAACGAAGTCATCTATTTTTGGAAGATCTGGGGATGGAAACTCTGAAAATAACAGCAAGTATGAAGTACTAATATAAAAGTCCCTAGCAAGATTTAGCAATAAAGGCAGAAGAAAAATGGAATGAAACAGCATTCAGATTTAGTGTGAACAGTCTCATATCTGCCTTTTTTTGCAAATAAATTATTGATATTAAATAATATCAACAGAGGATAAAGGGAGAATAATGTACATGTGAGTTTGCTTTTGTGACATGGCTCAGAAAAGGCTGGATTAAGTCCATACTTCAATATTACAGCTTCAGTTTTCCTGTCATAGTCAACGTATTGGATAAGTGGACATGCCTCTAAGAGAAGAGAAATGTCACTGGTAAAATGATTATTTTAAGTAGATAAAAACACACTAGCTCATTAAATTGTCTCAATCTCTAGAACTTCCATTTCAAATTTCATGCTAATTTATATTATGAATTAACACTGTCATTTTTTTATAGACACTACAGAGACAAGTATTGTACATGTAACACAGCTGGAGAGAGATACCATTTTGGTGTGTTTGGATTGTAAGTTTTAGTATCAACTAAATATATATTTATGCATATACATGCATATTGTCTGTCTTCAAATTACGTCACATATTGAACATTGATTCTTGGTTGACATACGCTATTTATTCTCTAGGCTGCATAAAAATAGTGAATCTGCAAGGCAGGTTAAAATCCAGCCGCAGACTTTCATCGGAGCTCACATTTGACTTTCAGATTGAATCAATAGGTAAGTTGGATTTCATTATTAATATTGAATATCTGGATAGACTAGAGAGGTAGGCAGTCACAAACTGTATGAAATTTAACAAAAGCAAGTGCTGGATTCTGCACCTGGGATGAAATAATCCTGGTTATACATATAAATAGGGGGGATGAGAGGCTGGAGAGCAGCTGCGTGGAAAGATTGAATCAATAGGTAAGTTGGATTTCATTATTAATATTGAATATCTGGATAGACTAGAGAGGTAGGCAGTCACAAACTGTATGAAATTTAACAAAAGCAAGTGCTGGATTCTGCACCTGGGATGAAATAATCCTGGTTATACATATAAATAAGGGGGGATGAGAGGCTGGAGAGCAGCTGCGTGGAAAGATCAGGGGGTTTGGGTTGTTGGCAAGCTGAATATAAGTCAGCAGTGTGCCTTGGCAGCCAAAAGGGCCAACCGTGTCCTGGGGTGCATCAAGCACAGCATAGCTAGCCAGTCTAGGGAGATGATTGTCCCACTCTACGCTGCACTGGTGCAGCCGCACCTCAAGTACTGTGTGCAGTTTTGGGTGCCTCAATATAAGGAGGACATCAAACTATGAGAGTGTGTCCAGAAGAGGGCGACCAAGACAGTGAAAGGCCTCAAGGGCAAGACTTTCAGGGAGCAGTTGAGGGTACTTTGTTCATCTTGGAGAAGAGAAAGCTGAGAGGTGACCTCATCGCAGTCTACAACTTCCTCAAAGGAGACAGCAGAGGAGGAGGTGCTGATCTCTCTCTGGTGACCAGTGATAGGACACAAGGAAATGGAATGAAGCTGCATCAGGGGAAGTTCAGATTTTTCATTAGGAAAAGGTTCTTCAGTGAGAGGGTGCTCGGTCACTGGAACAGGCTTCCCGCAGAAGTGGTCACAGCACCAACCTTGTCAGAGTTCAAGGATTATCCAGACAACACTCTTAGTCATATGGTTTAGTTTTAGGTCATCCTGCGAGGAACAGGGAGCTGGACTTGATCGTCATAGGTCCCTTCCAACTCAAGATACTCTATGATTAACTTGTTTACTGTTACAGTACAGAATCAGAGATGCATCTGGTCTCTAATAATAGAGATGTCAAGTCTTTAGGATTTGAAACACTATCTCAAGCATTTCACTTTGTGTGATAAGGCTCAGTGAAAGGTTCAGCATACTATGTAACGTGCTTCTCTAGGAGCAATTGGAATGGAGTAATAACCCTGGAGTCTCCCCTGATTAGGCTAAATGTCTTGGGAATATGACAGAGACCTTCAGCCTCTAAAGGAATACCTTAACACAGCCTACATAAACTCTGTGAATCACTCCTGGCTAACTCATTCTGCATGTGTGTTCACACAGTCCCATTTTTATAAAGCAGCTCAAAGACTAAATTATATGATATGTCACGCTTTACAAAACTTTTTGGTTTTTGTGAAAAGTCTGAATGAATTAGATTTGTGAAAAAGAAAGACAGAATACATTTATTTTGACAGTTCTCCAGTAGTTACATTCCTGGACTGCATCACATGCTTTTGAAAGAGGGATGAGAAGGAATGTGTGCACAGATGGAGGGTAGCACCTGAAGGGGAGGAACAGTGGGAACAAAAATAATGAGGAGTTGGAGGGAAATTTACTTCTGAGGAGAAGCTTTAAAGTTTCAGGCACTTCAAACATAATGTCCCACAGAGAAGAGGACAAAAAAAAACATTGACATGGAAAATATTACTTTTATGGCTCCTGTTGGTTCAGAATGGAGGGAGAAAGGAGTATGTGTACTTGAAGCTGCTTGTTGTGGGACCTCTGCACATGCCGTAGTCCTCTCAAGCTCATGCTTGTCACAAACAAGCTTCTGGTGGCCTGATAGTGTCTCCAAAGGGCTCTGTTTTCTTTCCTGCATACATGCCCAGAGGCAGGATGCTAGTTGCAGGTGGGACAGATTCTTCCTGGGGACCTACACACTTGCCCTGTCTTTGAGGAAGGCCCTAGACACATTTCCTTTCACAGGGTTCAAATGCAGGTGTCTGTGTCATGTTTATGACAAGGGGACTGGCTGGGAAGTAGAGAGCTCTCTAAAGCTTTGTGTTGCTATTGCAGGAGGACTGTAGTAGCCAACAGTTGCTGGGAAAGTGAAAAATGTCACTGCAGTATCCCTGTAACTTTTCTGCTAAAATTAAATATGTATCTTCTGCTAGTGTTAGAATGAGAGGTTTCCCGTTCAAAGGAAAGGACGTGTTTAGGACTAGACAGAAGGACAGTTTTAGAACTTTTTCTGGTTAGGTGGGAGTATTTTTAAACCCTGCTCATTAAATAAATGTATACATGCAGCTACTTTTGAGGCAGTTTCAATGATTCCTATGAGACATTTTGCAGTCTGTGTGGGTGAATGTGATAAAATAAAACATACGCACAAATTTCAAAATTGCAGTCATATGCTTTTGGCCTTAAAAGCATGAGTTGATATTATGCCTCAGAACTGATTCCAGTGTTCTTTGTTACCAGTCTGTTTACAAGACAGCGTATTAGCGTTCTGGAAACATGGCATGCAAGGAAGGAGTTTTAGATCAAATGAGGTGAGTACTGCATTTTGGTTCAAATTCTAGCTTCTAATATAAGCCAAGTAGAGGATAAATGCATAATGCTTGTGGTCTGAAAAAGAGTAAAACATTCAGTAACTTCCCAGGTTAGATCTGAAAGCTGGAGGCTCATTCTAAGTATGTTTCATAAGCTACAAACTAATTAGTGAAGCTGTGCTGGCCCCTGCCAAGTCTAACATACAAAGCAGAAAGCAACAAGAAGCCATGATGCCATAGAAAAGATCCAAGTCTAATTCTTGGTAATGCTGATCTTTCGCCTTAAATTGCTTTGAAGACCAGTGTCACTCCCTTAACCTCTCACACATGGGTACCAACATTTGGGCTTTGCCAGTGCTTGCACGCTCCACTGCTGAGCTTTAGCTTTTTGTCAGTGTCGAATGAGTTGCCCATCTTTTTCTAGTCTGCTCCATGTTCCTTTGGCTTACAAGTACTTTGAAGATTTTAGTGCCCAACTTTCATAAGAAGTATTTTCTATTCTCAGGAGAAAAATGTCAGATTGACCTAAAGATTTTTTTTCTAAAATATTTGTGTAGTCCCTCTCTTCAACCAGTTTGATGTGATTTTTAGACATAGTTAAACTATTATAAGTACCTTCCCAACTCCTCTTTTCCTTGCTGCAAACCTTGTGCATCTATGTTTGTGGAAATGCTGTGCTTTGTAGTATCTTAATAAGTCTTTTGATTTGGTTATTAAAGAATGTTCACAAACTTCACCAGTTGTTTCATCAGTGTCGTAGTGGCTGAGAAATTGAGCTCATTAATACTAATTGTATTTTAAGGTACACATACAATCATGCCATGCTGAGCTTAGATATTCCGTGTTGTTACACAACTGCATTTACTAACACAAAGCCTCAGCTGACCTAATCTGTGCTGACAGTAAGCCTGCTCTTTGTGTAAAGTTGGACCAAAGACTAGAGTCAGACTACTACTAATTTCCAAGTCTGCAAATGGTTCTTGTGGCATTTGTGCATGTTTGATCCCCAGGCATGATTGTCCTTCTCCCAAGAACTCATAATAGTGAACTGCAGCACCCTGCTGTTAGCACAGATGATGAGGGGGAGATGACGCTGCTAGGCACTTCTCCAACTCCAGACTCCTGTTAGCAGCATTCTGCAAGGCTCAGTGGATTACTCCACCCATTGGCACTCAGTAGTTCTGATCCAGTTGTTTAGAGGATGTGCCCCAGAGTGCTGCAGCACAAGTGGATATTTGTTTATGTAAAGCATAAGGAGCATTCTTCTTACTTTTCTATTGGCAAGCCAAAGCTAGCACCTAAATGAAGACTAGAAGGCAGAACTGAGCTGTTGTCAAGAAAGCAAGCTGCCCAGAACTTTTTCTCTGTAGAACATGTCTAGAGTAAGCTCTCAGGCCTTATTAAATTCCTTATCGCTCCTGACTAGCCACAGCTATTAAGAAGAAAAACAACTCATTTTCATTTGTAATATGAAAAGCCTGCTTTACCAGGCTCAGATCTTGACCGTATTCATTACTTTGGGGGAATTTTATACTATGTAGTATGTAGGAAGCAGTTACACAGGACAAAAACCTGACCAACCTAATATTACAACATATTTGTCTTTTGAATACATTATTAGTTCAGATTCCCTAATCTAATATCAGTTGGTCTAACTGAGGATGACTTAAGCTGCTTGCAGAGTTGTTTCCTTCCACAAGTGTGACATTCCACAGTGGTTTGTTTGAGTGGGAAGAATGAAATGGGGAACTGTGTGAATTCTGAGACAAGATGCTTAAAATTTGGACCAAGATTATGTAGACTCAGCTCCACAACAAGCAGGAAGTAATTTACTTAAAGTGGGGAACTTCATCGTTGTTAATTAAAATTCTCTTGCATGTTCTCTGTGCCAAAAGAGAATTCACTAAGCCAGCTAATGCTACTAGGATCTGGGAAGGAGAGAAGAATCTCTTCTTTCCTCAAGAATGTGAAATGTGACTGTGTAGAAAAAGAGCTTTGTAAACAGTGCTGCCAGTTTGTGGTGTGACTTGATATCCTTTGGAGTATGCAGTGGGCTTTGGTTGACTTTATTGATTAACATGATGTTTTCTTTGATGCTTTGGTATTCATGCGATCATAAAGATGTATCGCACAAGTACAATTCACTCACAGTCAACAAACTCTATTGCAATAGTCTGAAATGTCAAAATACTATGTTTTCACAGTGGGCATAAGTATCACAAATTAGATTATGTTTCTCTGTTAAGGTTTTCACAATATGAACTTACTGCATCATTACTATGATTCAGAACTTCCATAAAATGCATTTTGTGTGACTTCCCTGACCCATTTTGGATTTCTACTCTAGAGTGAGACAAATTGCACCTTACGGCTACCTATTTCAGTCATGGCTGTAAAGAAAATTGCCCCTGTAGCTTGCATGCTGTGCAGTGCTGAGCCCTGCTGTTGTGCTTGCAGTTGCTACTAGAGGAGTTTACATAATGTGGCAGGAATTACAGAAAACTTTTAGATCTCATTTAAAAGTGACAGTTGCATTAAATTCTCTAGTGGATTTAAATCAGCAGTAAATTGGTAACATCAGTCAATTATTTTCTCTAGGTTGATTTTTAAAACAGTAAAAACACTAGTGTGCTTAACATGTGAACACTTGTTTTATTGTTGTTGTCTAGATCACACAAGAAATTTCTGATAACACAAGGATATTCAGGCTTCTGGGATCTGACAGGTATGAAGAGAAGTGAACATTGCATGCTAAAATAGAAGAATAATGTGTGTCCTTCCTACCTTGTAAAAGTTCTTTTTGCTTGTCTCTTGTGATTCCTTTTTCAGCCATCTTACTCATTCTTTTGTGTATATGTCTACTTTCCAGCCCTTCAAGTTTACTTCTCTTTCTTCAAAAGGAAAAAAAAAATTCTTCTAAAAGTGTTTGCGGGCTTCCAGACGTACTCAGACATGCCAAATGGCTGCAGTCACAAACTCCAGGAGTGTCTTCCTTTTTGTGCTGTAATTCTTCTGTTTAACTGGTGAAATCTTTACTTTCAGATGCTCTGCTGCAGTAGTTCATCAAGATCTACTTCTTGAGACAAATGCAAAAAATGCTTAAAAATATATATATCTCACTTTCACCCCCAGAAAGGAACTCTTATCAGTTGTCCTCATAACGTGACAGCTCAGGTCTTGTAAGAGCTCTTGATAATTCCCAGCGTAGCTGTTCTTTGGCATCTGCTTTGCAGGACACTAACACCGTGTCTATCTGACCCATCAGATACCAGCTTGCTGAGTCAGTAACTGCTATTTTAGGAGTGTCACCGACTTCCTCAACTTTCTCTGCCCTGCTGTCAAACTTTGTACTTCTGTAACAGCAGAAGTTTTGTCTTGTACAGAGTGCATGCTGACATTACACCAGTAATGTATTCATATGAAGTGCAAAGATGGGCTTTAATTTTTCTGTTGAGAATTGCCTCTGTCTTATGTCACTTGCAGTAAACTCACTCTCTTGTGACATCTTAGAACTAACCAAAAAAGCTTCACATCAACAAAAGGCTTTCCCCATATTCTGCTTCTCCAAGCTTGATGCACAGCCCTGTAATTACCCATAACATCAACAGCAGTGAATGGTGCTGTAGCTTTATCAGCTAGATATTTTTGCTGGCTGGGGTTTGAGGATTCTGCCTTAGGTGTACTACCTGATAGCTTTTTGGTAACTGGTAGTTGTAATACTCATCTCTGACCTGAGGGTTTTATTCGCTGTTCCAGTGAGGTATGCATGCAGCTCATCTTTATTATGTCATTTCTCTTAGTTGTTGAGAGACAGCATAGCTCAATTTAAAGACAAGTCTGACGTCACAATGGAGCATGACATTGCAAATCATTGCCTTGGAAAAATAATATCCTGTTCCCCAAATATGGTTCCATCTATTTCTGGCTTGCACTAATAGTCTCCCAAGTCTGAGACAATGTTTAAAGACTTAGCACTGTGATAAACATTAACTCCCATTTCTTCAGATACCATTTTGTTTGCAGCTCTGTCATATTTTGTGCTTGAGCTGTGAAACCTTTTTCCAGTAACACATGTCATTTCTTAGGCAGTTCATAGAAACTGAGGTTCTGAGAAGCCAAAACCGTGACATCAGTCTGATAAGAACTTGCATGTTGCTTTCTCTTGGTGAGCAGGGAGTGCCTCATGGCATGAGGTGTCATTCCCTTTGTGGAGCACATTGTGCAGAGGGTAGGTTTTTCTGAGCAATAGTTTTGAAGCAAGCAATCTCTCCTTGGGTGAATGCATAATAGATGGATTTGAATTTCCCACAATCTACCTTTACTTCAGGGTGTTTGGGGAGGAGAATTCAATCATGAACATCCTGGCCCATTTAACAGTTTTAGCAGTTCTTGCCTGATTAAAAAATCTCAAATAGTTTGTGAAACAGAATTGTGGCTTCCAATTTCTCTCCTTTGAAGAGAGAAGAACTTCTCTCCCTTGAAGAGAAAGGTCTGATCTAGGACCTCCTTTATGGTATTTGCAGTTGTAGTGTAAGTCCAGCTAACACAGTCTCTTGTCTCCAATGCTGGCTGAAAAAGTGGTTGGCAAGAAATAGGCTGAGAGAGAAGATTCTGCACTTAACAGTCCTTTTCTTGAGGACTCTCTCAGCCTGCAGGTCTTTGGGACTTTCAGAAGTGGAGAAAGTTTCTGTGGATTTAGGTTACATGGGCTCAGGAAAAGACTAGAAATGCTCACACAAGAGTCAGTTTTGGTCATCTATCATGTCCAATGGTGAAGGGGAGACTGATGACTTCTAGAACTGGAACCTTATTAAGGGGTTAGCTTTGCAAAGCTCTAGGGAAGCACACGCCCAGGCGGTAGGGGTAGTGGCCAGGCAGTAGTGATGGATCCTCTTCAGAAGCCCCCACTGAAAGGATGAGAGGCAACCAGCATACATTGCAGCAAGGGAAATTCCAGCTGGATCAAAGAGGGGAAAACATCATGGTGAAGGGTGGCTGAACACTGCTAGGAGCCCAGAGAGGCTGTGGGAGATCCTTGAGACCTTGCCTGGACAAGACCCTGAGCTAGCTATGAGGGTGGCCTTGCTTGAGCAGCTTTTGGACTAGAGGTGTCCAGGAAAAGAGAAATGACCACTGGTCATATGGATCCTGAGAAGGAATGTTTACAGTTATACTTAGGGATGTTTTTAAATGAAGGCTTACTTGATGTTGTGGCTTTTTGTTTCCATTTTAGGGTCGTGGTGCTGGAGAGTAGGCCAACAGATAACCCGACAGCCAACAGCAATTTATACATCCTTGCAGGGCATGAGAACAGTTACTGAGCACAGCACATGGCAGGCAGCTCACCTGACAAGAGAACACTCCTGCTGCAGCAGCATTCATGGCTGGCTGAAATAGCACAGAAGCTGCAGTAACCCCACTTCAGTTACTTTATAATTTATTATGGCATGAGAGGAAGATGAGAATTGTTTGTGGTATGGACACATAAGCATTATGATACCATAGAAGTGCTTAATTTACTGTTATGTAATCTTTGTACATACGCAGTATTTTTCAGTGAAACTTCTTGCTGAAGACCTACACTGACTTTCTGTAGATAGTGTTCCTCCTGTTAAGTACAAGTCTTACCTGTACAGATGTAAAAGTTGCTGAGGATGCAAAAATGAAATCGGGGGTACTATTTTAAGGACTTCTCATGTGTTTATTATAAAGTGGGATGCTAGCAAAAATATAGTACATTTAACACTATTGTATTTTATTATATGTCATTTACTAATACAAGTAAATCTTAACTTTTAGAAATTGTAACCAAGGCTGTAATCAGATTACAATCTTGTTTTAATTTTGATGCAACACACTGGTGTTCATGTTTGCACAATGTATTGATGTGATTTATTTAGTCACAAAGGTAGGCTGTGACTGTGGGTATGACTTGGGCTTCAAAGTTCCCTTTTTTTAAGTTTACTTGGGTAGTTTTCTTCGTGAAACAAACCAGTTAAACACCTGTTTTTTTATATTTAATTAACACTCTCCTTACAATTACTTCTATATGCTTGAAAACAATACTTTCTGGACGAGTGTCAGTCTCAGACTAGTGGTACTGTTACTGCCTGTAACACTGCAAAGGTGTTTGAATTATTAGTGTATACAATGATAAAAATTAGTATTACTGTTTGTCTTACTAAGTAGTTTCATATCACAACAAAAAGGAGATACATTCCACATTGTGGAAATGGCTCAAAGATGTTGCCATTTTGTCTTTCTTTGGCCTTATAACCTTTTTCACACTTTTCTTGATTTAAGATGTTAACACATGGCCAAAATAATTTAGTTACTACCTCATTCAAACAATACAATGTTACTACGCATCACAGGAACTTAGTTTTGATCAGGAGTATTTTTGATTGCTATTTTTCAATGGAGTATGTAAATGCCAAGTTTTAGCAAAATGCACACATTTGACTCCTTTTTTTTGTATATGTTCTTTATATTTTATTGTGATAATATACACTAAAAACCAAACTAAATTTAAAGTGATTTATGGCCTGCATTATTGTTGTGATTGGTAATGCTTTGGTATATGTTCTGTAATGTATATAATGTAAAATAAACTTTTTTAACATATTGTACAATTAGATTACCACCTGCACTAATTTTCCACATAAGACTAAATGGAACATACTGAGTTTTGAATTCTGCTATTAAATGTTTGTGCCAAACACAGAAGCTGGGCATTTCTGAATGTATGAATGGTCAGACTACTGGAGCTAAACTCAATTTAGGCTAGCACTTGAGGGTAGCCATTAATACCCTTTTGGCCTTTAGGCAATGGATATATGTATTTGAGAGAAGTCTTTCCAAATTCCAGCTTGTTTGATTTCTTCCCTCCATCACCTGCTTTTCCACCTCTGTCAGTTGCAAAACTGATTTTTTTTTTTTTTTTTTCAGCAGGGCTTTTTTTCTGCCTATGGGACTCAAGCTCCCTGCCTCTGCTGGCCCCATGTTGTCTGTTCCCTTGCACTGAACCTCAGATCCGCCCTGTGAGAGAGGTGGTAATGCAAGCCCCACTGCTGAGAAGCTGAATTCTCAGAAAAGGCAAGAACTTGTGTTTAGTAGTATGCTGGTGCTACTGCCCAGTGAGGTTTTCCATCCTGCCTCCTATGGCCTGTTCCTCACTTTGACGTGCAAAAAGTAGCTAAATTTTAACCAAGTACAGTAAGCTGATGTGCTATAAACATACTTCCTCCTGTGGTGTTTCTGCACAGCTGTGGCCAAGTGTCTTGCTGTTTGGGGCTGTTGTGCCATTGCTGAATTACAGGCAACAGGAGCTAAGGGATATTGGGTATTATTCAGGTTAGTAGTGGTATGAGAATGCATTCTGGGATGCAGCTGGAAGAGCTAAAAATAAAGAGGACAGGGTAATGGCATGTGGGAAGAATGGGAGCATTGTGCTCGGGTAGGCTTGTCTCAAATCCGTTGGTATAGCCAGGGCAGCTTTGCTTTCCACATGCTGCTCTCCAGCCTGAAAGATGAGGAAGAAGTGAAGGGTTCCTGCTTTTTGAGGAATTGTCCTGCAAGGATTTGAGGTCTGTGCCACAAAGCTCTCCCTAAGGGGGCGGGGTAGCTCCTTGGCTGGCAGCTGCCCTCAGCTGAGCCCAGGAGCCTGGATATCCAGTAGAGCTAGACCTGCGACTGCCATAAACTGAAGGTTTCCTTAAGGCACACTCAGTGGGAGTTTCTGCCACCCCCATCCTGATGTAAGATTGGGATTCAGTGTGTGGCTGACTGATAGGAGCACAGTCAGAGCCAAGAAACCAAATTATAGGCACGATGAAGTTAGAGCAAGGCTTCTGCCTACAGCTAGTTGACACAGCTTTTCTAAGAACCTGCGTAGCTTCCCTTTTTCTCTCTCCTCCCAGCCCCTTCCACTCCAGCTGCTATCGCTGGCTGCTAGCTAGTGGTCCTAGCTACTAACAGGCAGAAGTGTGTTGTGATGGGGCATTCACCAACCTGGCAGCGAAGCCTGATCAGTGCAAGGGCTGAGCTTGGGTCTCACTCCCAAACTGAGTTTTCTTAAAGAGATCAAAGAAGTGAGGCTGTTTGGATCTGTTGCAGAAGTGCTCCTGGAAGCTGGGAGGACAGGGGACTGAGCACTGCTTTTATCCTGTACTTGCATGTCTCTCCAGGTGGTGCTGCCTGCCCTTGTCAGAAACAGGATCTGGTGACCTGAAAAAGACGGGGTTTTCAGATTCAAGTTCTGTGTCCCACTGCCCTTGACTGAAACAGAGAGCTGTGAAAGGCAAAAGCACGTGTGGCTGGCTGCCTGTTCCTTGTAGCTTTGCCACTGGGGTGTTGTGATGGGGCTGGGAGAATCAAGCAGTGCTGCAAGCAGTGATGCGCATGGATGTGTCCCCCAGGCAGGGGGTGTTTCTTACGCTCTACAGGATTTGGCTTTAGCAATAGCACTACTGGGTTTTGAAGGAATCTATGTGAAAAGGTGGGTAAAAAAGCTGGTAAAACCAGGGAATGTGCCAAAACCTCTTCCTTCCCTTCAAGGAAACATTCCAGGTTGGTCTAAAATACAGGTTATAGGGAGTCATGTTTCAGGCTATGTCATCTAATGTCATCTATTGAGGGGTGCAGAAGGAGCTGTGGGAATGTGTCTGGGGAGGGGGACATGGACCCTGGTGGGGTCTCAAGTCCCTGCTGTGGACAGCAATGCTGTGTTTGCTGTCTGCTCAGCATCATCCTCTACAATACAGCTGCATTACTGTTGCTAGAGGTCATCTTCCTTCCTTGGGCAGCACCTCCTTGGGTGCAGACTTTTCCCTTTAGAGCTAATTTAAATCCAACATGTTCAAATTCAGGTCCCCCTTGTGTTGCTCGGACAGGCAGCTACTGCTAGTAGTGTCTTGCACGCCGAATACAGGAGTACGTTGCCTGCTCCTGTCAGTCCCTCCTGGTGGTGTCTCCTCATTCCCCATGGCAGCTGCTGGGGGTAAAGGGGTGCTGTCACTCTTTGTAAGCCATCATTACTTGGCCAGCCCTCAGGACAGTAGGGCAAAGGGCTGCCATGACCCTCCCCTTCATCACACCTTGTAGGTGTGCCCATGACACCTACAAACATTGTACACCCCTGTAAAGCCACCACTGCACCGGCTGTGGCCTTTGGTTTCTGCTCCTGACAGCAACAGCAGTGAGCCTCATATTCACTTCTTAATACAAAGGCAGGCCATCCCACTGCCTGGCTCCCTGCACCTCCCTGTGTAACTGAGCTTCCTCTGTCTCCTCATGATTCAACTGCTCTGTTGCTACGTCCCTATGAAAGCAGCTCCCAGCTTTTAACTCTGTCCTCTTCTCTGCAAAAGCTTGCACGATAAGGAGCAACCAGACAGCTGCAGTCCTTCCTCTAGGTCCTTAGACACCCTTAGCTTAGAGATGTGCACATCCATATATGGTAACCGCTGTGCCTGACTGCGCTTCACCTGCCTGTGCTCTCCACCACAGATGGACACAAAGCCAGTGGCCTGGGACAGTGACTGCTGGGTGAATAGCATCCTATTGCTCTCAGTTGTGCTCTGCCCTCCAGTGGACCCATGGGACTTCTCCCAGCCTGCCATACAGGCTGGTCTATTTGCCATGAGCAGTGAAGCACTAGCTCTTCAGGCAGCCCTGGAGATAGCTATGTCTTGTTCAGTTGCTTTCCAAGGAAAACTGCACCTCCCATGCAGCACACAGAACGAGAGAGCATGATCAGGCAGAGGCCAGTGAGGAACCCGGACTGCCCCATCAGCACAAATAAATCCAGGATGCCCCCAAGCAGAAGGCACTGAAAATGCACTGAAAACCAAGAGAGGAACACAATCAGATGGTGCTGGCAGCTCCAGGTGGAGGGAGAGCTCAGGCCTGGACTGTCCTGTGGCCATACCAAACATTTGAACCAAACAAGCACAGTGCCTGCAATTTCACGCTATCCAACACTGTTTTGTTTGAAGCAGAGACATGCTGTAGACCATTCACTGCTATTTAAAGAGTCCTGGCACCTCCATCTCCAAATGGAGGGTCTGGAGACCAGAGCACTACTGTTGTTTACACCCAGTGTTGCACGTACTTGGGAGCAGCCAAATATTTAAACAACTTCAACAGACTGATTTTCCATCATAAGGCAGTGAATGCAACAGTCTATGAGATGCTGTGTCCCTGAATGCATGGGCAGGCTGCTAGACCAAGCAAACAGTTCTGAGATGTGAATATTCCTGTCTTTCATCCTTGCTCCAGCAAGCTCAAAGCAGAAGTCTGATTCCTTCAGGCAGCAGTATCTGCCTGGAGGAAAAATGCCTGAGGCAGAGCTATGGGGTGAAAACAGCTCTTTCTGAGAGGCTCCATCTGTTACCTACTAAAGTACTGCTCAGCATCTGAAGAACATCTGTCCTCAGAGCACTTCACAAACACTAATTAAGTGAGCCTCCCAACACACATACCATTCCTGACAGGTATCTGCACGACCAGCCCTTGAGACGAAGGGAGACTCAGCAGTCTCTGTCCAAGTGATCTATGCAGGTATTTCACTCTCCTCCCAGCTGGGAAGCTTGTCCTAAACCTTCCTTCCAGTGACCAGTGAAGGTTTTCATACATCTATCTTTCTCCCTGTGCTCTCCATCAGCAGCTCACTATTTCCCCTTCTGGTCCTCAGACTCTCCCTAGCCTTGCAAAGCATGCTACAATGATTTGCTTTTCATCTCCAGTATCGTCCTCCTCGGTCTGCCCTGCCTGGCTGCACAGACCACCATGGACTTTGTCCTGTT